TTGGATGCCTCAACCAAAATCAATACAATTAATTTTTATAAAGCATTATTTTTTGTCTCACAATAAGGCCACTTCTGATAGGGAAAGTAACACTTTGACAGCAAACTACAAGTCTTCTCCAGGCAGTAAGGTCAAATATCACTAAGAGTTTACAGAAACAACTTATAAAGCACAGAATCGTATATTTATGAAATAATAAATCTAAACCTCATTCTTAACAAAACTGAGGGAGAGCTACAGCCACACTGACATAAAACATTTACCATCTCATATCTATGAGGCCAACACTAAATATGTTAAACAACTCTCTTATTTGTTTCAAATTTGTTTGTTGGGGAATTGCTATAAAATAGTATTAAAAGTTAACAAACAAACTCACCACAGCTAATGTAGTAAGTTCTCTTGGCAAAATCATCAAACACTGGACCAAGAGCAAAGCAGTTTGGTTTCTTCTTTCTTTCTCCTTCTTCAAGTTCACGTGCAGCATCTGTAGTATTATACATAAAAAAAAATAATACATAGTCCAATCACTTCATTTGCATAATGTAGTGAGTTGGTAATGAGTTAAAATTACAAAAAGATCTTGGGCAAAAAAGACCACTAGGGTTGGGAGTTTAAAATTTATATAAAACATATTCTTACATGTGGAATTAAGTTCTATCCGTCCAGCTGGTTGGTTTGATGCAATATCATCCATTTTCCTGCAAGTTAGACCACAATTTTATTTCTGTTTACACTGTTGACTTCCCATAACTAGCATTTTTGAGGGAATTGAAAAAAGTTTCAGTTATCAAAAGTTGACAGAAATAGGGAAAAAACTACTGTGTTTATTGGCAGTATTTCTAATGATACTAGCGCACATTTTAACTGAACTTAATCAGTGGAGAGAATTTTGAGAAAAGGTTGGATATATAATGTATTGACAGAGTGAGTTTTTGAGCATTGACACTATTAGGTGATTGTTTATTCATCAGTTTTGCAAAACAGATCTTTGAGAGGCACAGGTGTTGAAAAAAATTTGTTTCCAAAGATGAAAGTATAGAGGGAAACTGAAAATGAGTGGGATTTCTAAAATTGGGATATTTTCAGAAATAGTTCACTGGCATGTGACCCAGAATGGTGCACTAAATTATGGCATGTTATTGAAAACATTTTTTTATGTTATCCACAGTTATATCCCCATAAATTAATTCAACCAACAATAACAATGCAAGTGAGGTTGACAACTATCAGGAAAAAATAATTGTTTGAAAAAATTGTCTGTTTTCTTAGCAGGTGTTTGCAAAATGGGACATGATGCTAATTTTGTGATATTCAACAGAGCAAAACAGATCTTACAACACTTAGAACTGATTTATTCAGATCTCTTCAGGAAGTCCGCTAAAGGTAAATCTCTCGCAATATTTCAAGATTTCCCAAATTTTCATCACCTGTTAAATTTTTTTTTTTTAATAAACAACTGTGTACACCTTTGCGAAATTTGGTAAATTATGCAAATTGAAGGGAAGAGTGATGAAAAAACTGATAAAAAGATAACAAGACATTTTAAGAAAAATTACAAAAGCTGAATATCTTTTAGCATATCTACAATTGTTGTAGATATGCAGAAAGAAAACAGAAACCCAGATCAATCTTCAATATATCCAGTACTAATCAATCAACAAAACTAGTTATGAAACCAACATTTTCCATATTTTGCAGTCTCATTTTAATAAAGGAATCATCACGCCTTCTTGTAAATTGTATAACTAACCACATCCTGTATTTCTTCTCAAAAAAATAATAATTTGCTGATTTGACAAAATGCAAAAGCATGTTTGAAATATCTTATGGGTCCTCTGCATGGATAGAAAAATGAAAACAATCACAAAGTAAAGAAAGAGGTCAGCTGGGAGCAATTTTCAAGAATTCCAAGCAATTTTAAGCAGGTATAAGGAATACTACAGGCAGTAAATTTTACCAGTAGCTGCCTGAAAAGGAAAACACTGAGTATGAGCTAGCCATGGTATAAATTTCTTTAGCACAATTTCATCACGATCATACCGCCTTCCGAAAAGTCGAAGGTTCATAGGTTAAAACTACACTTCCTTCAGTGAATCAAAATTCTTTCATTTTGCTAAGAATTTGTGCTTTGCGTGCCTTAGCCAATATTTTAGTTTCATTTAGATTATATTTATAGACTGTTGCATAAACGCAATACGTAAGTGTAACTACTGTGTGAAAAAGTTTCAAGACAAGCTATGAAACAAAAGACTTTTGAGATCATTTCTCCAAGTATAATTAAATCATTCTACCAGATGTTTGGTAACAGAATATCACTGTGTAAATATAAGCTTATTGACTATGGAGCCTAATGCGATTGCTATCGAATCGCTCGACCAACATTGCTCAGATCTGAAACTTCAGACGAGCCAAAATGTCTCGAGTCTTCCGTAAAAGCTGATAAATTTTAAGTTTTCCCTCGCCGCACGAAATACGTAACAGCAAGTACACGGATGTTTTCTCGCTTCGGGCACGTTCTTTGATAAATATTTTTTACGATCTTTTCGTGAGTCGTGACTTCTCAGTACAGCCTTTTAACAGAGTTAAATATTCATGGATATTTACACAACAAAGAACCAAACAGACTTAAGGTGTCCATTACAAAAAGACACGACAAACAACAATAACAGTCACCTGTAATATGACCAAGAGGCTCCATTCGAACCTCTTACAAGCCGGCACCATCGTTTGCGCCAGTTCGTCTGACCAAGGACAGCTTGTCCACTTTCCTTAACAACCCAGCCTTCTTTGACAACAAATTCCTCTTCCATAGAAGCGAAAGTACAAAATTTTAATCCTACACTAAGACCATTCGCGAGGCAGCCATTTTAACTATTACCCATAACTCCTTTCCCGCTTGCATCACGATTTAGAGGACATTTGGCTATTTACCGAAATTCAACACTTTAAGAAGAAGCAGCATTGTCGCTCGCCTCCGGGTTCAATCTGATAAAACAGCATGAAATTAAGAAACGAACCCCATACCCAGGACACCTATGTCCAGTGGAAGACATTTCCAGATAACGTTCACGTGATCCCCAGCTGCAAAATGAAAAAAGGACTCATTATTTAACCAAATGGTGGAAAAACCCTAAACAAACAGAGAGTAAGGGAAAAATATTTCCTTCAAAAAATTTTCACGCGGAAACGCTTTAAAAGTGATGGCAAACTAAAAAAAAATCAAGATTGTAAAACACAAAAGAACGAGAATCAAAATGACAGAAAAGGAAGAAGATCAAGATGTATTTTGCGACCGTAAAATCCACCAATAATAAACTGAAAGACAATACGACTATTGTCTTTGGTGACCAGCCCCAGTCTGACCGCGCTTTATCAATACTCCAGTATCACGCATTTGGCTTGTGGACAAACTCGGCCTTTGGAATCCCTACCGCGTTCCGGTTAGTTTGAGAAAGATCGTGGCTACTTTCAAAAGGTTGTAAGGAGCCAATTCACGACTCTTTCAGGTAAATTGAAACGTTTTTCGATGCCTCATAGCGTAAAGCTTCGTTTTTTTGCATGATAGTGTCAAATGGAGGCGTCAATTTGCGCCTATATTGTAATTTTTGACAGATCGACACAGCTTTTAAAAACATGGCGACGTGAAGAATTTCTGTGTGGCTTATCAAATGGTGTTACTATCTAACGAGGATGTAATCGTTTATGCTTTCAGTTTTAGCGGGAAAACTGGAAAATGAAAGCTAACGGTGGTTGTAATCCAGGTGGTAAAGACAGAAAGCGCAAGATTTGCGACCAGGCGGCGGAACAAGAGAGGTAAACTAAATCTTCGCACTATAAATAAACGACCGTGTAGGTGACAGTGCAGTTATTCAAGTTCACACTGCATACTAAAGCACGCAATTAAAGAATTCATTATTTTAGCAACTTGTTTGCTCCTTTGACTGCAGTGACATTTAAACTACTGGGAGATCTAGGAAAGGATCAGAAGCGAACGAACCTAGTTCTTTTGCTGATAGATTCCTGTATTTGATAATAATCTTCTTAGAGTTCAGTTTTCGCCATGTTAATTTCCACCAGCATTGCAAAGCTTTGTGCTGCAGAAACTAGCCGTCATTAATCAAGACGGAGATTGAAAAGATCTCTCTTTTAGTTACCTTCACGTCAATAATTTTCGGGTCTTTTTACGCTGTCAAACATTTACACGCTCGGATGATTTGTTTTGTAGTCCATAGGATTATCAAAGAGTTCGATCTTTTATTTTTTTGCCGGGGCATTTAATAAATGGTTTATCGTGTCGATAGAATTCGTAATGTATAATTTATAGCTCGGATTGAAATTATTTAGCTCTAAGATAGCGTGAGGTATAGTAGCAATGCAGCGAAAATGCGACACATTACATTGAAAGAGAGACGTAAGAACTAACCTCAATTTGATTGCGTTAAATGCTAGTTTATGGTATTTAAGGAAAAGTTTGGAACATTATCGTCTGCCTTCAGGTGGTGTTCGATTGAAATATGGCAAATGGGAGCAGCTGAACCAATCAGTTTTCATTGACAAATATTTTTTCATCTACTTAAAACACTTTGTTCTTCTGCTGTTTACAATGCGTTCATATTCCTTCAGATTCGAGTTTCAATATATACTCCAAGCGACCAAGCCCAAACGGCAACCAGCGCTAACGGTTTCAGTAATTAAAGACTCTTTGTAGTAAGTGTTCACTGCATGTTAGGAAGTATGCGCTAACTCAAAACGTAATACACCCTCTGGCAGTTTGACGGCCACCTTACCTTACAGCATCACCCGATCGCGTATTACCTAATTGATCGCCGTCTCGTATACCATAATTTTATTGATATTTAAAAGCGTCGTGATGCAGTGAAAAATATCTTCTTCGGAACCTCTTCATTGGATTTGCACAAAGCTCTGTAACTTGTGTACGATGTCCTTGAAATTTCAATGCAAATGTTTAGTTCCTTTTGTGAACTGATTAAATATGTAAATGTTTTGAAAGAGTTTCCTTTGCCATGTGTTACACCGATGATAATGAGGTTTTTAAACCCTCCCCATGTGGATGATTTATGTATTTATTCTGTAAGACGGAACCAAACGGGCTATTTTATTCCTATTTATCATCCTGCAATTTTATTTTATTTAGAGAGGTAATATTTTTTTTATCTCAAAATCTGTCTGCATTGGAAGGCATGGCAATGTTTATGAATGTCTAGAGAGCAAAGTACAACATTGCAGTGCATTCTCAAATATCAAATTAGACTAAGCTTTGAACTGGAAGATAATGTAAAAGAGTGATGCATTTTGTAAAGCAATAGATGAATTCTAGTACCAACAGTGATCTGTTCCAATATGGTGTTGGTATGGGTCACGGAAATTACTGACTGGTTACACTCATGTCCGGTTAAAAATAAAATGGATCAATGACACATGAATTGATGATGAGTGATGAAACTTCTCTAAGGTGGCATTGGGTGAAAATATCTGATTTTTCTTAGATATGAAATTATTAATTTCTCTTTTACTAGATCAAGATTTTAGAAGTTGACCAGCCCATTGTATTATCTGCCAAACAATTCACTGATAATCTTTGTAGCTATGTAGACATATTAAGTTCCTTATTAGATTAAGAAATCAAAAGAAAAATTCTTTAGACTCAAATTAAACATAGGTTAGGAATTGATTTGTCTGCAAGCAGTTTGTTTTAGGTCTGCTAACAGTCATATCTTTAACAGTCATCCCAAATGATTTGCATAGAGATTATCTAAAAGCATACCAATAGTAATTTTGATATGACATGTGTGTAGTGTTATCAAATTGTCCATCTAAGATTCCTTCCTTAAGCCTTTCTGACAATTAACACACTTTCCACATTGAAATTTGTTATAGAGGCTTATATAGACCATCCCTTGAGCCTCAACTAAACAATAGTGGTTATTATCACTAAGAAGTGGCCGCATGGAAAAGAATATAACTGACAGTTAATTTTAGAGGAAAGATACCAAGAAAGATAACTGTTCTAATGGAGCTGGATTAATTTCAATACTTCTGAAGTTGCACTAAATTGACTCAGAAAAGAGCCATGTGCATGCCAGTCTCTCTTCATACAAACTTAAATTTACAGTCAACCACAGTCTCAAGTGATTATTCCCACAAAGAAAGTTTCTCCCTAGCTCTGTTTTAACCAAAGTTATTTTTGTATAGCAGCATACTGCTCAATTGTGTTAATTTTTTTAAATTTACATTTCTAATAAATGTGGTTATGGTCACGCAACTCATTGCTAATTGAAATTAAAGACAAATACACACAAAAGAAATATAAACCAAGATTTTGTTTAACCTATTATTTTGGGGTGCCAGTAGTGTAGTGTCAGAACTGAATGGAAAAGCTATACTTTGTTTAGGGAATTAAACATTCTTGGAATAACTTCAGCTTAGATTGATGCTCTGGTCAAAGTTTTAAGCTAGTTCAAATGCTTATTCATCTGTTGATTGTTTTTATTCATTCCTTGGATTGTTAAACTGCCTTGTTTTGTGTCTTTAGAGGTAAAAGGATCTTTGTTGAACTTGCCTGCTTGAAGAGTATTCAGTATAACCCAATGAACTTTGAAGTCTATTAATCATTCAATTTTTTTTCTTTCTCTGTCCTTTTTAAATGTCATACTGGACTGTGCCCTTTGATTCTTGGGAGTTTTAACAGATGTTTGCATTAAAGACATATTTGTGGAACTTTTGTTTTTATTTTGTGCATGAGTAACTCACATTAAGCTTAGAAGTCCTTTAACTTAATTAAAGTTCCATGTTAAATGAAATTAAAAATGGTTTTTGAGATAGCTTCATGCTAAGAAATTTGAAAGAATGACAGTGAGGGGTGTGTAGTAATTGCAGTTAGCATTGCAAGCCATGGGATAGTACCACCAAGAACTACTCAAAATAACTCAAACTGTGTAATAATTATTAGTCGATGATATACTCTATTTTTGTTATGTTATATAATACATCAAGTTCCGATCTTTGACATTTCAGTCAACAAAATTAAATTGTGCCCTAAAGTCACTATTGTAACATGTTAGACATTTAGTAGTAAAATTATTTTATTTTTGCGTGATGCAAACTCTTTAAATTGTGGTTAATCAGATGTTACGTGTAATTCAAATTATTGTATGTGAACACAGGACGAAAGTTCCACAGAGTGCATCGAGGCGGCACAGAGAAAAGATAAATGCAACTTTGGAGGAGCTTGGCAGTCTTCTCCCGCTGCCAGAAGATGCCAGATCAAAATTGGATAAACTGACAGTTTTGAAACTATCTGTCAGCTATTTCCAAACTCAAAATTATCTTCAGTCTGGTAAGTTCAACTGCATCCTTGAAGTACTTGTTTATCGCTGTTGGCTGCATCCTATGATTATTACTGGTGAAGATTAATCAATTACTTTCGGAAATAGCATGACTAAATGCTATGGAAATCCTCTTAGTTCCATATTAAGCAGCTCTTGATGGCCAGGAAGTTGTTTGCAACGAGAAGGAATGTCTGAATGGAGGAATTGTAATGTTACAATAATGCCTAAACTATTCCCTGACTAGTAACTCGTGAGGTACATGTTCACTGTAAACCAAGAAAGACACAGTGACAGTTTAATTCAAGCACAGCATGGATGGCATAGGATGCATTCTCATGAAAACCACATGACATGGCTATCACTCTGTATTGGTGATAATGGTTGCAAATTCACAACCTCTCAATGACGATGTAATGAATATTTTTTCTATAATTAGCTGCACCTTGACATAATAGTCACCATTTTGAGATGGAGTTGTGTCCAGTCAGGAAGAGGCAGAGAGGGGGGGAGTGAGGCAGGCTCAAATATCCCCTTCCCCACTCTATAACTCTTTGCCAAATGTTAAAATGTATGTAAAAAATTCTGGAGATCTTTCAGTCTTCTTCGGCATCACCTCACTGTTGACAGTTTGACATTGTTTCGTATTGGCTTATTTCAGGTTCTTATAGATATCATAGACCTTGCCAGGTGTCCTTTATGAAAAAATTGCCAATGTGCTATTTGGAGTGTAACAGTCATGAGTTACATTTATATACCAATGGAAAGATTAAGAGATGTGCTCTCTGGCCAATTTTTTGTTTTGTTTTAGTGTGATGTAGGTAATACTATCTCAAGTGAGGCAATCAGGTATCAGATCTGATCAAATTCACATGTGATACTGAAATCAGGAGATTTATGCAACGGAAAGCATTTTCTGTCATATCATAATTGGCTGTTCACACTTTGGCAGACTGAAGAATGAATATCTTTTGGTAAAAACTTCTGTGCATTTCAATATTTTACCAATTGTGTCCTTGGAATCTGTTTTTAAAATAGTTTGACTGGAAAAATTTTTAAAAAATTGCCAAAAAAAAACTGTGGTATACCATATCCTTAACTGGGTAATTTAGTATTATCAACTGAGTTGATAACATAAATTGGCCACCATAAAGAGTTGAAAAGCTGAGATTTCAAGCTTATTCCTTCGTCAGAGCAAAGGGTGAAGGGCTTATGCTTGAAACATCAGCTTTTAAACTCTTTGTGGTGGCCAATTAATAATATCAACTCCGTTGATAATACTAAATTACCCTGTTATACTCTCCTACCATTGCAGCGCCACAGTTTCTTTAGAAACCTACTCCCTTAAGCAGCTTTAACTTATTTGTAAAACCAAGTTTATTTTCCTTCTCAGGGAAAAGAAAGAGACGTGTGGATGATGCATCTGTAAATGACATAACCAAGAAACTTGATGAGATGAATATAAATGTCAGTGATATTTCATTGGAGGTAAGTGTTTTTGATGTGTTGCAGGTTTTAATGTTATTTCATGGGGCACCATTCATGAAATTCTTCAAAAAATGAATCAAAAAGAAAGAAAGGAATGACAATCATTTGGGTTTTTTTTTTTATCAAGGTTTTCCTAAGCATTGCTCTTTGGACTTTCTTAAGTCCCTATTGTCTGTGGTTATGGAGTTAAAATAACAAGCCATTTACAATGCTAGTAGGTGGTGTTATGCATATCCAGAGATGATTCAGGGTTGGTAATGTTATCGCATTGGGGCTGTTGGAGTTAAATAGCCCCCCTTATGCATTTCAGGCCATCTACTTTGTGTAACTTCCCATTTTACAAGCTTCATGATTGAGATAGCATGATTTATGTCAGCATTAGCTGATCACGTTCTTGTCTTGTGAGGAAAAATTATTCTACCTTTTGGAACACAATTTGGTCTTCCTCAGGTTATTCTTACTCAGGAAATTAATTATCAATCTATGAATTGATGGTGGAGGTAACAAGGAAAACCTATGGAAGTTTTCTTTTGCAGATAGGCAGTTTTATGAGTTGTTTTATGTAACATGAGCTTCAGTATCCATTACATTTTACTACCGAGAACATCTTTGTTGACAATATTTTCCTCTTAGGAGGTAACATCCTCAATTACTGCTCCTTAAGTTGAGGAGAGTCAGAATTGTCCCTATCATGATTATTGGATGGGGTGTCTGCAAGTGGCCTCTGCTGAACAAATAGATTCAATAAATTTTTTTTTCACTTCAAGAATTTACAAGAAGTTCATGTGGGATCAGGAGTCCCTCTTGAATTTTTATCTCTCTCTTCTGATGGGCAGTGGTGGGTTGATCGTAATTCAAAGATCTACCGCTGTATTTCTCTTAAACTCTGTCTTTCCCTTCATTTGCTTGGATTCATTAAGTGGGTTACCATCAGAAACACTATTGGCTCTATGGAATTTTTTGATGATGGATAATATATATTTTGTCTGCCCTGTATTATATTTTGAATTCCTTTTACCTTTTTTTGATAACATTTAGATAAAATTGTGACAGCTTTGTTTAATTACTAGACACATTTGTATGTTTAGAGAAGAGCTTTTTAAACATTAAGAATATGATAAATAACAAAGATCAACTACCCTCAAAATTCAGTAATTTGTCAAAATTATTTGCATGATTTATTTTTCAAATACATAAAATTCAAAATTTAAAATTTGTTATCAAGGTGGCCAAAAAATCATTATTCATCTCACGTTTGCCCATTAACATGAATTAAATATATTGGCACTTGACATGGATAGGTACTTCCCATTAAATTTGCCAAGATGAATGATCAAGCTGTATATTGTCTCATGTTTTTAACATTAAGAAAAATGAAAAACGGCTAGTACCAAAATTAATGAAGTTCAATTGTTTTATATTCATTGCTTAAAGAGAAGTTTAAGAGGGCGCGATAACAGACTGTATGATGAAGCACTCGGCCATAACCTTTAGTTGTTTTTAGTGATATTTCATTGTTTCTGATAATTTACATGTGAATGAGTATATTTTTGCTGTTGATTGGACCTAAATTTAGATGAAGAGAGAAATTCATGTTTCTACCCTCCTGATGCGAGATACTCTTTAATTTTTGCATAAATTATTTCTGCCCTTAATTTCTTTTTTTTTTTTCCACAGAGGTATTTTTGCCCTTATTTATATGACTATTTCCCTCTGTAACAATGTAAAAAGCTTAGGATTTGATTTCAAGCTAGTATGTTTATACTGAGTTTAACTCATGAAGCAAAAGTCATTGTGATCCTTTTTGATGGGAGGGTGTTGACTTGATTTGAAATTCATGGTTGCCAATCAACTCTGCATTCAAAACAAGTGGATCTAATCGATCAAAACAAATCAAGCATGAGCTGTGTATGCACTGTTGTTGTGGTGTTAGATTAAGTGACTGAAATGCTACACAAATCTGGCGAAACAAATGTATTTGTCAATAGTTCCATTTTTTTAAGAGCATGTGGAGACTTTCAACTCCACATGCACTGTGAATAATTGAACCTGGCAAGACTTCAAAACAAGCCGTCAGGCTGCCACAGTCAAGGGTCAAACCCAACAAACCATGCAAACATTAGTCCTTATTTTTAGCAATGGTTTTGATTAGACTCCTGAAATAAACTATGTCATGAGTTGTTTATGTTAAAAAAATGTAGTTCAAAATTTTCAAGTTCATCATTTTTTAATTTTTCCATCTTTAGGCATTTTAATTCCTTCTTGGTGTCTTCCTACTTGTTCTGCATTTCTCTCTACCAGACTAATATTTAAAAGTCTTTTTTGTATGTAGTAAACTTAATTGAGGTTTTCACGAAACAGGAAAAAAAGCACAAAATATCATGTACTCAGCTGCTTCACAAATTGCTTTTCTTTTTGTCTGTCATGTACTGAACTTTGAAACGCATGATTAATTATTCACAAAGGTCACAACAGATCTGAATGGCTTGCATGCCCAAAAAAACTCTTTTTTGCTAATTTGAAATGTAGCAAGCTCAACCAAGAGTACTTAGCCCTTTACGCCTAACATCAGTGTTTATATTCTCCATACATGGAAAATTCATTTAACAATCAAAACTTTGTAGGTTGGTGATCACTTTCTTCATTCTTGTGGTCATAATGATTGATTCAGCAGTATAATCTGCGAGAGAAATTAGGTGCTGGTCACCAAGGGTGTAAATGGTTAAGGAAAGGTGCAAGGCAGAGTTTCCAAACAAGACCGACTTCCATTGCTGGGGGAGCATATTGTAATTTCAGTTGCATTAAGGTGTACCTTAATGCTATCCCACTGTTGGAAGAGCAGATTGCAATTTCAGTTGCACTAAGGCTCACCCTCTGTTTGTGATGCTACCCATCACATATTATCCACACTCAGCATTTTTTCTGGGTTTCCATGACATTTCATCTGCAATGATATGTTTGTATGCTCTTGGAAAGACTAACACTATTTGAGTCATGTGTCTTGTTCTTGTAAGAGCACATCATCATCTCAGACAGAGCTCAAGCTTACACCTTGTGGTGTATAGTCTTGTGCACTAACATAAGGGTGTGGTATATCCTGAGACATATCAGGCAAGAAGCTCTTAACCCTCAAACTTGTAGAAGTGATCAATGTTTAAGTTCTCCATGCAATATCAGTACATTCCTTGCAAGAAAATTTAGGGGGAAATGTTTGCTGCTTGAGGAGAGAATTATGAAATATTGTAGTTAGAGGCTAATAGAGCTAGCTGGTTAGTGTAAGGCTTAGAGAAAAAGGTCATAGAAAGTGAGAAAAAATAATGACATGTTTTTGTATTGTTATAATTCCTCTGAATCTCTGTTCTTAAAGTGAAACTGATCCCCAATTTGACCGTTCTTACTCCAGGAGCCAAGCCAGCATATTACATTTATAGGTATAGGTTTGTATATATATGATTTAAGCATCAAGCATTTTTGCTATTTAAAGAATCAAAAGCAAATTCCAGTTGACCTTCATTGAAGTCAAAATTAGGATAAATTCAAATCGGTCACTCAAGTGAACATTTTACCCATTGTAAATACTTTGAGTGCATGAAGTGGTCAATTTGTCAGTTATTTTTGGAAAATCATAATTTGCCATGAAAAACAGACAAGCAATGGGATTAAGAGAATTAGTATTGATTACAGGATAAGAGTGAAACATAATGCTAAATTTGTTGAGGGAAAGAAGAATTTCTCATCGTAAATTGGAATCGTAAGAGATTAACCTAGATTTCAATTTAAACTGAAGTCTAATCTAAAAAGAAGCGGTTTTCCAACAGCGATTTTCAAGTTCAAGTTCATGGATAATTAGATCAAGATGCGTTTCAGACAGGAAAACATCATGCACTGTCTGACATTTGAAATTAAAAGAAGTTTCTAGAGTTTATTGTCTGTTATGTTAATTGCGTTATGTAAGAGACCTTTCATGCATTTTGTCAACTTCCTTTAATAGACATGTGAATTTTGGTCAACTGTGTTAAAGATTATGACATATAGACAGTTACAGTAGGATCACTTTTTTTAAAAATCTACGTAAAGTAGCTCATGTGGACAATTTACCATTAACACATTTCACTTACTTCACTCTAAATGGCTTCCAGGTGTGACTGTTTAACTAGACTCTAAAAATAGGCCCCTGAAAACTTTTGAGTGGCTTGTCTTTTGTTATTTGCTAATTTTTGATAAATATAGGACAAATTTGGAGACTTTTTTATAGGTTTTAAGTATTCTTAACAAGTTTATTTTCAAATTGCTGCAGGGCATTTTGCAGTTGCAGTTTACATAACCACAGATGATATTTGTTTCCAGAAACATCTTACAAGATGTCTTTTTTTACTTATCGATTAGCTGGAAATGCTTAGAGATGATCAGCATGATGATGCCTCCAGACACTTGTTCCTGATTGCTGGCCTTAAATGACAGATAAACTCACATGCATAGGCACCTAAACTCATCTTTTGCAGCATGACTATGAAATGAAGTTCTTAATTTACATATTTTTACATTTCATGATGGTGGTTGCTTTTGTCATGGTTTCATGGTTTACCATTACTCGCCTTTGCAAACAAATTTTTGTTCAAAGCAAATGATTGACCAAAACTTTGCAGCTGAACCTGGAAAGAAAATGGTTGCTAATTTAATTTAAAAAGCTTTTTTTGAATAGTATGCAATTGATCATGTTTAAGACTGAAAGCTGTTTGCACCTGTGTTGCCTAGCTTGTAAATATTCTCTTGTTATATATGAATACAATTAAAATCGTTTATATTGGTGGTAAATGTGTCTAGAGAAGTTTGGGGTTGTAAATCCATCATATCTCTTGGAAAAATAGAACAGGAAATAAAGAAGGAACTTAATTTGCAATGCTGCGAGCCAATTGCAAGGATTCTAAATTAGGTGCATGGAGTTATTAATATCTGGCAGAATGCTAAATATCTTTTTTATCTTACTATGATCATCAGGCCTTGGATTCCTTTTTCCTGGTTCTGTCAGATTCAGGAGATGTCTTCTTTGCGTCAGAGAATGTCTATAGATATCTTGGATACACTCAGGTAATTAATGAAGATGTGTATGTTTAAAATAAAAATCCAAACAGATCACTTAACCTTCCAACTCCCAGATCAAATTTGTAATTCCCCTTACTGTCAACCATACAATTATTGTAATGTTAGTTCAGAGAATTTAGTATTGGGTCAACTAATCCTAAACTTGATATTTTTCTTTATTCTCATCACTTATCTGGTTGATGTTGTATTGATATTGTAAGGAGAAATTCTGTCTTGGTCACTCATGGGAGTTAAAGGGTTAAGGTAAATTAGACATAGTATGAAACTAAAACTCTGGCAAGAAAGCAAAACTATCCTTGGAAGGTTGTGATACCAGGCCTTGCAAGTAAGCAAAGTTTTAAAAAAGGGGCCTAGTTGTTTGTAGGACCGATAATGCCATCTAACCGATAAATCACTATCCAGTGGGTAAGGTTGTGGTAACAAAATACTCTGTGCTATCCATGAATAAATCTTAGCATTCACCACCCTTCAAGCAACTAGGGCCAGGCTTTAAGAATGAGTTAAGCTCCAGCTTAAGGGGTTTGAAATGAAGAAATACATATACTATTATTAAAGAGTCTGAATGAAGATAATTAGGGTGCAATTTTTGTCATTTTTGGGTGTCCTATTAGCTCAGGTGAAGGGGGAAGGGGAAAAACCCCTATGCAGGAGAGATGGGATGGTTGAAGTCTCTTTGAAGGATGATGATGGTTAGCTCAGTAGGAGTCACACACACTTCTCTCTATTTTGTGAGGTTTATTGTTTTAGAATTTCTTATCAGCATCACCCCAGTAAGTAGCAAGAGTTTCCTCCCCCTCTCCACATCTTTCCTCCATGCAAGGGTTACAAACATGAAATCTACCCAGCCCAACTCTTTAGGAAGTTGCAATAACTTAACAAAGTCAGATTAACTCTACCAGTGGATGTTCACTGGAGCCACGAAGACTTACCAGTTATGCCTGGGCTGTTATTTTGTTGAAGACTTAATGAGATGATTCCTCTTTCAACAGACATTTTTGATGCACCAGAATTTCCTCAATTTTGTACACCAGGAAGATGTTGTAGGATTTGAAAGATGCTTACGACGGTCTGCAAGAGCTGTGAGTTATCTGTCTTATTAATCAGGACCCAGTAGTATAAAGGGCAGATAATGCTATCCAACAGATAAATCACTATTCAGGGGATAAGTGATGGTAAAATGTATAGTGTTATTCAATGAATAGAGATTTATCCTGTGGATAGCGTTATCCAACCTTTGAACAACCAGGCCAGGTTTTCTTTTCACAAAGCAAACAATTTACATTGAACAATCTTAAAGGATTCTCTTTTCAGACAATACTATGAAATTTAAATTTGGAGAATGTAGTAACGCTGAATGTTTGAAAGATTTTATGTATTAATCCCCCAAACAAATGTGATTTTAACACACTATCCTGTGAGCTTGTAATGAGAATAGGCAGGCTTTTGAGCTGCAGGGTGTTATCTTGATCCAATGCCAAATTATTTTGTATACTTTACAAGGAAATGGTGGCATCCAGAAGGGAGAATTTTCTTTTAAGATCAGTGGAGTCAAAGGGCTAAATACCTCGCCCCCAACCATCTTAGGAGACTAAATGTTGGTTTGGTTAATGTGAAGCTTTCTTACTCCTCACTGGTGCACATCTTTTAGGTTGCCTGCTCGGTAATTACTTAGCTACTGTGCACAAGATTTTGACTTTTTTTAAAAAAAATTGTACTCTTATTTGTTCTTGAGTTTGGTCATGTCAGTGATTGAGACGCAAGGGAGGGATGGCTGGGGGCTCAATTATTCTTTCCATGCTTACTTAAGGAAGCTATCATACAGAGCCTGAAATAGTGAAATATCAAACGGCAAGTTTGTCCTGCGATAAATACTTCATTTCGCTAATTTTTTGTACTTAACTAACTGACCCATTTATCTCTACTTTTTTTTTTGAAGAGAATTATCGAGTTGGAAAACGGAATGGGACTTGATTGTCAAGAATTGGAAGGTATCAACATTGAACTCTGTGTGAAATTCTCCAGTCTTTATTAGTATTCAATTTACCAGTAATTTTACAGAAGTTTATTTTTACACGTAACGAATGTGGACGTTTTTAGCTTCTAACAGCAAATCAAGAACTGTTTTGAATAAAGCTTTCGTCCCGAATTATTTCTCAATCACTTTCGTCTTGCTTTTTAGTTAAAGATAATTCCATGTAACATAAATTATCTTTACACACTGACAAATTTGCTTTATTTACTTTGAAATCCGATCCGTGTACCTGTTTGTTTCTCCAAATTTTAACTTTTGCATAGGCACGTGTTACGCTTAGGTGTGAATGGGTTAAAGCAATTTTTGGGAACCAATCTCTAACTGACTTTATAAGGAATTTGGGCCTTTCCTAACAAAATAGCTGACACGAACAACCACGCCAGACTTCAGAGTCAACTGGTAACTCAAACGCACTCCGTAACCTGTGATTACTTCTAGTTTTAAAATTGTATTTATTTTTTAATGAATTTGAAAAATGTCCACAACATCCCAGATTTACTTTCAACACCGAAGTGAAAATTACTCTTGAAACCTAGTCTATTGTAGGAAAAATCATTAAAAGTTCAAGAGCCTAAATATAACTTTAACAATCTTTGTTTCCAGAACAACCAATTCCTCAATTGTGCTTCTGCAGCATCAAGTGCCATGCAGGAAGACAGTCAAGCCACGTTAGTCCATTCTACTATAGGGTAGGTAGTTACAGTAGTAAAACACGAAGCTGTGGTAAAACTTGTTACACGAGTTGTAGTTTCGGTAATGCCTCCGTGGCATTAGAAGTTTAGTATCCCAAAGTCACAATCACAGGTTTTCTTTCTTTAAACACCACCGTTTTTTTATTTTTTTTATCCTCTCACACCTTTTTTAAAGAAAAAACACTCCTTAAAAGCGACATGCACGACTGCAATCATTTGCAGTGTCAATCAAACTCAACTACGTTCAGGCTCAGTCTTCAATAGTAGTAGCTCAGGCTTTGGTTGTTTGAGGGGTAAATTATGCTATTGGATGGATGAATCGCTATACAGCGGACAAGCGTTAACAAAGCCTACCGTGCTGTCCACTGGATAGAGATTTATTCAGTGGTTAGTGTTATCCATCCTTTGCATAACCGGGGGGAAGTGATGATAGAAATGTACCTGCTCTGATTGGTTCAGTGTTGTTAAAGGTATTTTTAATATTAATTCTCATTGTTGGTGTTATTGCCAAATCTTAAACTTGGTTCCAGACCCTGTTTTGTGTTAACCCTCAAACTTCAAAAGGGATTTACATGAAACTTCTCCCTATAATATCCATACTTTATCCAGAAAACAGATAATGAGAATACCCAAACTTATTTGGGTAGAGGTTGTTGCCTTGATTTAACACCAAATTCTCATAACCAACTGACAAGGAAATGTGTAACAGTTATAGGGTAGAATTAACAATCAGATTTTAGGAGCGAAAGGGTGAATGTGGTTCTTATTTTTCGATCATCACACAGTCATTTAAATTTGACGGAAAAATCAAGCCTCTACTGAATGGCAAGAAGAAGCAGTTTGGATTATTTGCTCTTGTTACTCCAGTCAACCCCGCCAATCCATTTACCAGTACTCCTAAAGAGTTGCTTCAGTTGTACAGTTGTAAGATGGGACTAGATCTGAGGGTACGCAAGCTTGACACAAGGTGTGTTTCATATTTAAATCCATGTGGCAGAAATTGTTCCAAAGTCCCTTACAAACTAGCCTGTACCACTGAAATTCCAAGGAAGAAAGGACGAGCGAAATAGCTGGAAAAATACCTGGCGAAAAACAATGCTGGACGGTTTTAGGAGGAATCAGCAGTGGGATGAGAAGCTCTCCTTCTCTTCCCCCCCCCCCCCCCCCCCCCCCCCCCCATTTTTGTTTACTCTGACGCTCTTTCCTTTTTTCACCTGCCTATCTTTTCGCTTGTCTCCACTTTCCGAAACTCTTTGGTAGCACACTCTGCATTTGCACTTTCCTGTAGGCAGCCATGAAAATCGTAGCCGCCTGATAAGGTCTTAAAATTGCGTGACCTAACATTTAGGTTGTAAATGAGTTTCAAGCTGAAGGTCATATAGACAAGCGGAAATCTTTTCCCAATACAGGAAACTAACAACTTGACAGTAATGAAGTTCCTTTAAGAACCCCTTGCAGCGTTGCACTTTGGGGGCTTCTTTAAAGTGTTTTAACTTGGCTTTGCAACTTGTATTCTATTGCTTATTCAACGCAATGTTGACAGTTAAGTGTTTTATTTCTGTTTGTGTCGACAGAGGACAGAAATCTTTGTTTTATCCTGATAAGGAGGCTGTAAATATGACTGGTTATATGATTGCTCATCCTGACGATATCCCAAGTCTGATGTTGGCCCACCAACAAAGTAAGCACTCTTCTGTTACCGTAGAGGGGATTTTAATTTATCATCGATAGTTGTCCGCAGTTATGTGCGTTTGTTTCTTAGACTTCGTGACAGCTGTCGTTTGGTTGCGTCAATCAAGGTGTTCGAGAGAGAAAGCGTTGCTTGATGCGACCAACTAATATTATACAATACAATATAATATTTATTTTGCCATATACGACATTTACAGATGGAAAAAAAAATGAAGAAAATTGATGACAGAAAATAAATGGCGAGAAAACCTGAAAGAAACCACGAGGCTTATAACAAGTCAGGCTTTCTCACTTAAAATAACTAATCTTATATTAGAATTACAATATGGACTTATGGTAATAACTTTGACCGCGCACACGTACACACACACACACGCACACACATATTAAGTAAGTTAGTTAAGAATTACTGCCTTACAGAAGTTAATACCTAGAGAGAAGAAATTCCTTAAGCTTTCTTTTAAAAGAAGCGGAGGAGGGAGAACTATTTACTAAGGTGACCATTTAAGTCTCTGGCTCTTGTGAATGGACAGTGTACGCGCTACTCTCGCGAGCAATCACAAGCACTCTGTGATGGCCGAGAATACATTTCCAAAGGAGTAGCACCCCTAGGCACTTCTTGCTACTCAAACTGGGGTGAGTTTTGAGAACTCGAGAGGCGCTTTGATATACTGACTTAAATCGCAGAGAGGTATTTAACATACACATTTTTTTTTTGTCATTGTAGTCACAGCTACAGGAGTATGTGAAATAGTGTTCAGGCTTACAAATGGTCAAGGAGTATTCCAGTGGATCAGAGGGAAGGCAAGGACTCTGTATGATAAGAATAACAAGCCAGAGGCTATTACTGCTGATAATGTTCTTTTGAAGTGAGTCGAACAATTTTCTTTCCCCTTTTAGTCTTGGTTTAAAGTGATGTACAGGGCACTGACTCGTCACCAGTCCTCTTCTTTATTTGCGCAGTGTGGGAGTGTGACTCGTGTGGGAATGGGACTTGCGTGGGAGTGTGATTCTCGTGGGAATATGATGCGCCTGTGTGTGAGGAGGGAAAGAGAGGGCTTTTTCCAAGATGGTGGACGGTTGAAAAATGGGAAACAGACCTTCTCCTTGTGCTAATTATAAATCATAACTACTCCCTTATAGGAGTGTTTTATAGGAAGATCTTCTAACTATATTGTCCACAGTGCAAGGGATTCGACATGCATTTACCTTGCGTCTGCTTTAAATTTCTCATTGAGTTTCTCGTAAAATTTTTTTACTTCTTTCAGCGATGAACAAGGACCATACTTCAGAAAGGTTTGTTATGAAGCGCTCCTTGAATGGAAGTCTCGTCAGAAGTCTCTTCCTTCGGTTCCCGGTGAGGATGACCACAATGCACGTCTGAAGGTAATTAGTCAAGAAAAAGGGCTTAAAACACCACCACCACCACCACCACAAGCGAATGGACTTCAAACGGGCGCTGTTCCTTCATCTGTTCCTTCATCTGTTCCTTCCCGGTCACAAAATGTACCAGATGAACCACGCCCAGTGGATTTGCCATGTGCAGTAGACAGATCATATCCCCCACCCCCACCCCCACCAAACGGACTACTTCCACAAGGCATAACAGGTACATCAAGTGGGGCACACACAGGGATACCAACCCCATTGGGTAGATCATTCTCGTCCAACAGACCTGTTTCAGCTGCCGTGCCACCTCTGGCCACCTCCAGGGAAACTGGTAACATCAGTGGGCAAGGTTTGTGTTAAGCGTAGTTTCAGTTTTTTCAAGTGTGTCAAATAACATCTGTTTTAATCTCTTTAATTAGCCATCCTTGGTTTATTCTTGTCTCTTTCGTTGTTTCCTATACGACTGAACCAATTCTTTTTTATTTTTTTTGTTTGTTTCCTATCCGACTGAACCAATTTTTTTTCACTTTAAAGCTGAAGGTAGCTTTACACTTCGCAAAAAGGGAGATTTCTGTCGCGTGCTAGTTAAGAAGCTCGAGTCAATTATCAGGCATTGAAATGGAGAGCGAATAATCTTAGTTGTTTTGGCACACTTCCACTGGTCGTTCAAAACCTCACAACAAAAGAGGCTCGAGTTTTTTTATTTTTTTATTTTTATTATTTTGTTTACAATCACACACTGCAAGACCGCTTACTATCCATCACCGAATAGATAGCGAACGGCGTAACCGATCAGATTGCAGTATGGGTGGTAGAACATTGGTAGATTTATACGAATTTGACATTGCTTCTTTTAAGCTGCCAAACAATCGTCTTTATGCCAGTAGTTGCTAAGGCTGATGAAATCCTTAACAAAGAAAATGACGTAGTTAAGGTAACAATAAAAGTTGTTCTTTTCTTTACATAGTAGGAATGACTGCCATACCTGATGAAGTGTTACTGGACGATTCCAAAGATATTGAGATTACTGACTTTAGCAGTGCAACCAATGTGGCAGAACCTAGCGGTCCTAAATTGCCTACGTTTGACTTGACGTCAGGTTCATCAAAGTCGTGTATGTTTGGGTCTGCACACCTGAACAGGCAGCCTGTAGAGATGAAGCCAACTTTGGCGCACAGTGGAACTGGTCACAACTTCAAGACGGAAAACCGGAATGATTCAACTCATTTGTTCTCAAAACGGAGTAAGTCGGCTCACGAAGAGATTCATCGCATCAAACAATTCCTTATGGGTAATGAAGCAAACTCCTTAACCCATCTACCTCGGGCTGATAACACACTTGCTATCAATGGGGGAAGTGTTCACAATGTCGCTGATCCTTGGGCCGGTTATCCAGTTGACTCATCGCCTGTTCTACCTGAGGTAAGTTTCCCGGATGACGACGATGAGTGTTCGATGAACTATCCACAGGCTTTGCAGAGTGAAATGCGTCCGCCTTATCAACCAAACGGGTGCACTTTACCCGGGATGGTTCAAGGCAATGTTACGAGCACGCAGTTCGTTGGAACTCAACAACCCGACGCAGATAACTTTGTATATCCGTTTTTACCAGACATGAGTAGCCTCAGCCATGTGAATTCTTCAAACGCCTTTGTTAACGGCATATCTAAGCAGGAAATTCATCAGATGTCAGCAACCATAGATGGATTGCCATCATCGTTGCACAATGGGCAGGAGTTTAATCCAGCATTCCGTTCCCCAGAGGGAACCCTCCCTCAGTCATTTACGCCGAGCTACCAACATAACCATAATGGACTACCCCACCCTCAAAGGGGTGCTGGTTTTAACCCAGTCGTAGATGCTACTTCTGCAAACCATTTTCCTCTTGATTTTATGTTAAACTCCAACACCACAAGTGTACCAAGTCAAGACACTAGCCTGTGGTTTTCATCAACTAATGCCACTAACCTAGCTCAGAATTTGCCCCCAAAAATCGAAGATATGCCAAGCGTGGATGAAATTACGCCAAGCTTGTATGCAAACACTACCATGGCTCCTTACACTAACCCTGAACAGTTTAACAATGGACATCTCTCAGAATCTGTGCAGCTATCCGATGCATTTCAGCCTCCGAATGGTATGCACTTAAACCAGTCCGGTGTGAATCAATGCTTTCAAAAACAAACTTTTCAGAAAGAGCCCGGAAGTGCGAAGAATGTGGATCCAAATTTACATCAAGGTGGAAATAGCTTACTTAGAATGATGCTTACCCTATAACTAGAGAGTCTAACTTGGTTGTTTGCATGAAAATGGTGTGGCAGGGAAAGGAAGTCTTGCTCTGTTTCTTAGCTTCCGAGAGACGCGCGACCCTTTTATACGTTTTAATTAACGGTTGCTTCAATTCAAACGGGAGCTAGTAAGAGCATTTTTCAATTGACTGTCGAAGAACGGAAACCAAAGTTATCATAACAAAGAAAAGCATTATCGTTAGCCGATGATAACTCATATTTAATACAGGCAAACTACCCAAAGCGTGGGAAAATGTGGGTGACCAAGCCACGACTGTTGTTGGTGTTGCGTCTGAAAGGATGGCACGAGTTTTCTGGGCTAACCACAGAGCGAGGTAAAGCAGAACTTAAGTAATTCCGGATTACTTGCGACATTCCATTGAAAATTGCTCTATGTGTAAAGCAACAGAAATACTTTATTATGTGAAAACGCTTACTTGGTACCAAATAAGTCAGCGGTCGTAAATTTTCACCCCAGCACGAACGTCGATTAAACAACTACGCGCTACTCAGTCGATCGGTCTGTACGTTGCTTGTCGGATAAAAATTTCGGGAGAAATTCGGTCGGCATTCGGTAGCCTTTTTGTTCGTGGTGTGTTGTCGGTAACTAGTCAGCTTAAGAGTTTAAGGAGTAAGTTAAGAAGTGAATCGATAAAGTGACCTCAAACGTTGTATTTATCAGTTAAATCTGTTTGAGGTGACTTTGGTTTGTTGGTAGATATTTCCTGAATAATCTATGTTGGTGAAGAAAGTCGATAGTTCGTCAAAGTTTTCATTCGTTTGGTTGCGGTATTTCCGCGATCATCGATCGGTCAAACATCGAGGTATCCATAGTTCGTCTTTAAATTTTCGGCAACTTTTGAGCGGCTACTAGGCAGATTACAAATAGCTTAATACATTAATACATTTTTTAAAAGAATAGTTTTCCCGCTTAAGAGAAAGTCTTACTTAAAGTAGAGAATAGTGTCTTGAATTATTTCTTGTACTAGTTTTACAAACACGTCGTAATATAATCGTAACTAAATTGTCGTGCTACCATACAAATTATTTCACATTAGTTTAGGCCAATTTGGATTATAGAAAATAAATTTCTTAGTAAAAGACTTCGTAAAAGTATTTTGGTCGGGTAAATAACATTAGAAAGCTAAAAGCAAATTGAAAAGCAACTAGGACAAATGAAGATTTAAATGATATATCGGAATGAAAATGACGAGTTCTAGACACTAGTAAGCCTCTGAAATCGTAACATAGCTACTTCTAACTTGAGGGCCTAGTAATTCGGTGGGCGGATGAGATTATACACCAAGGCCTAGTTGTTCACAGGGTGGATAATGCTATCCACTGGATAAACATCTTTCCGGTGATAGCGTAGTAAACTTTCTTCTGGATGGCGATTTGTCCGTCGGATAGTGCTATCCGTCCTCTGAACAACAGGGCGCGGTTAAATCGCACTCTTAGTAACATTGTAGTGTGATGTGTTGTGTTAAAAGTTGAACATTAGCCACGCTTTGAGAAACAGTATTCCATTACCTGTTGTGTTGTGTGACTCATCAGAGTATGGGTCGGCCTATATTGTATTACTAGGCAACAGTGAGGTGTTACGTTGTTGTAATGAAATGCCGTGGAAAGAGCGTCTTCCCCAAGAAGAGTCGCGTACCTACTACTCGGGTCGTTGTTAGATGAACGTAAACGGCGGCCTGTTTCGTGTGTGTTTTACTCATTAGATTTATATTGGAATTTTATTCATGGGACATAGTCGGGACTTGAACAAGTGTCCCCTGAACAGAAAGGAGGCTTCAATTTGCTCATGCCAATTTTTTTAGGACGTAAACGGACATCTTTGGAATTGGTCCCTTTTCTTTTCACTCTTTATGTGTTTCTGACGTTTTCAAAATAAATTCATTGAGAAAAGACTCTTCAATCTTGGCATCTCTGTACAACGTTTTACAGCTGTGTCCTTATCTGCCTAAGTATTTTTATACTCATTTCTATGTGATGGTGTTTCTTGCCTGGAAAGTGTTTCATTTCATTACTTTGGGTTTTTCTCAGAATACTCAGTCTTGTAAGTTAATCATTGTAACTGTAATACGATGTAATCTGGATTATATAAAGAGCTTATTATTTCTTATGTCTAATAATATATCCACTATATAAGTAATACAATCGTGTATTATATGTACAGAACTGAATGATGAGATATTACTAGCTTCCAGAAATTAGACTCGCACCCAATTATTATTTGCATTTTTCGGACGAGAGAATATTGGGCGTTATGACACCTTTTTCTTAATAATCTAGATTCAAGTCTTCTCTCACTTCGAAGGCACCACTAACGACTGGGTGCGAGTCTATCAAAGTATGACAACCTGGCTTGAAAACCTAGTAATTGAAGAAGCTGGCAAATAAGATTATAGCTATAAATAATTCTTTCGGACGATGTGTCATTCGTTTTAGGCGAAACTAGCGAAGATAGAGTAACTTAACGCGTTTAGTAATGCATTATTGCCGACATACCCCGTGATCGATTTTGTAGAAGAAAACGGACTTAATCCAGGTGTGATAATAAAGTCAAGCCCCATGATATTTAGAGATGGCTTAGCAGCAGAATTTTAAAATTACTAGTGTTATTTACAGTTCAGAGAACGTTTTATTATGACAACAGAGAAACTATTTCTTGTGTTTATGACAGTAAAGGTATGGCTAAATATGGATTTTAGTGCGGCTGTTTCCTTCTACTGGCGTTTACTTATCACATTAACTCTTAGATCAGATTATTAATTCTCCCTTCTCATTGGGAACTTTTTCCAACAAACTAGGGCGTTGGGAAATTTAGGTATTTTATTAAGATAACACCAATCAGCTCGTCAGCCTGCATATTCTCATTGCCTGAAGGCCAGATGATACATCAATCCGAGAATGAAATCGCAGGAAGATGAATTTTCAATTATCCCTTGGTGATATTTGGTCAGGAATTTTCGCGAAGTTTTTGAAAATTGTCGCTAATTGGAAGGAAAGTAACGGAAAAAACACTGCGCAAGCAAATAATGAACCAAAATAGGGAATGGGGGTTGCAGAATAACAAGGGCTGGGAAAGATGAAACCTAAAAAAAAACGTTTGACGAACCATGCTCGAATCCCTTGTGACCACTTGGTCGCGGGGGGACTGGACAAGAGATTTCCACTCATCGTTTGACAATTCTTTGGATATTCTTGGAAATTTCCCAGCCGAAAAATGCTTAAAATCAATGCAGATTATCTTAGTAAAGGAATGAGGAGTAACGATTCATTCTTGTTAGAATCAAGTACAGTGTGATTTACCAACTGTCATATGTTATCAACAAACCGCGAAGTATGGTCCAACCACCCCCACCCCCACCCCCACCCCTTACCCCAACTTGTGGGTGCAAACTGATCTTTTTCGTGCAGCATACCTTTAATTCATGTTAGTTCTTGATATCATATGTGATATCTGATACTTCTGTCGGCTGGTATTGGGTTCTTTAAACAACGTTGAATTCCTGAAAGGACCTACTGTTAAATTACTTTTTCGCTAGCGTGAAAAGTTTTGCAGAAGACATAGATCCATTTACTTACTTCCCACTCAGGGGATTAGGACACGTGGTACCAGCAAAAACACGCGCTTATTTCCATAGAAACGTCAGGTCCATTGTCCGTTTTTGCGCGTGCCCTAGCCTCAAACTTGTACAAAGAGTCAAAAGCTTGAAGGAGGTGAAGTGTCGAGGTAATGGAATATCGGTGTTTTTGTTGCTGAATATGAAAGGTACAGGTGTGTATCGATTTCCTCCTATTGGCGCAACATTTGCAAAGAAGGGAGAAGCAATGATCATAGGTCACATCCATGCTACCGCTGGATTTCAAGAGTTTAAAATTTTGACACACGACCCACGCGCACAATTCTTTGAAAACTTGAAGCCTATTCTTGTGAAACGTTTATGGTTATTTATCGGTACCTTTACACACATTTAATTTGTTTCAAACAGGAAACCCTTGTGGTGAAGAAAAAGGGGTTTTTAATTGCCGTCTGGAATTTGTAAACAAACAAACAAGTCACTAGCAGTTTGTGATTTTTTTCAAGTTATCCCCTTCGCGTGCAAACTTTTTTCGACTATTTTGCCGAGCTCTTTTAATAACTCAACTCTATGATAGCGATCAAATGAGCGTTCTTGTCGATAGTCTTCCAATAATATGGTTAGAGACCTTTTTTGTAATCATTTTGCCCTTTAAACCCTTTTCAGCTGTTTTCAAATGTGTCAAAATTTAATTACTGGATGAAACTTTCGCTCAGCAACAATAATTCTTCAATAACGATGTTTCTGTCACTTCCACTGAAATCAGACGAAATAATGAAAAATCTTTGAGGATGTTAATCGGGATATTGGCGTTTATTTATGTTAATCTATTAGCTAATAGTATATTTATAAGTTGATCTCGCAATCCTCTCAGAGAGCCTCAGGATCGAAAGAGACTTAGCAAAACAAACTTCGAAATTAAGATTTCTTGAAAGATTTTCGATAAGATTCAGCAAAGATCTTGCAATAGGATGCTCCTAGAATCTTCAAGGATATTTAGATATCTTCAAAGTCCTTAAAATTGTAAGTTTTGATAAGGATTTTAAGAGAGGCTTTCTGCTCTTTTCCCTTTTCCAGTTGGATTTTTCCGCGCCATGGAGTGAAAATGAGGAGTCCTTTTGGGCTCAAAGAGAAAGGGAAAATTTTACAAAGAGCTACTAAATCATGTCAGAGCCTCTTGGATCTGCGTGGTCTGCACATTGCCAGCATACCTAATGAAATCTTTGCAAAGCCTTTGGTGGAAAACTTGATAGTTTTAGAACTAAGTTTTAATGGCCTCCAGTCACTTCCCAGTTGTATTTGCCAACTGGTTAGTTTGGAGGAACTTTACCTTGGACATAATAACTTAAAAATTTTGCCCAAAGAAATTGGAGATCTTCCAGCCTTGACAAGACTTGATCTGGTACATAATGGTCTTCAAGAAGTCCCATTTTGCATTTCAAGATTGAGAACTCTAGAGTGGGTTAATCTGGCTGGGAACCTGGTGGAAGTTTTACCACCTTGGTTGCTTCTTCTACCAAACCTTCAACATTTGTACCTTGTACGTAACCTCATTGAAAACATCCCCAGGGATTGTTATCTTCAAGGAATAGATTGCATGCGCAGGTACTTTAGATTGCCTTGCACTAGAGATGCTAGTGACAGAAACTGCCACACAAATTTGAGGCTATTGTCTCCTCAAAGAAAATGCTTTACAAGACCAAAGCTGCGCTCAAATACTCTGGACAGACCCCTGTTGTTGTCTGAAAGTGAACCAGATGTAGGATTTAAAAAGTTAGTCTGTGAGCAGACCTCCCCTAGTTCAAGATGTTCACCAGTTGAAGATGATTCCATGATTTCCGCATCCTTGCCTGTGGAAACTTTACCAGGTAAATACGTCGAGCAACATCAGAACATTGTATCCAATTTGGAAAAGGCTCATCAGAATGAACTTTGCCTGGTTAAACAACAGAAAAGCAAGCTTCTTCACAAGCAGGAGCTTAGAAAAAAAAACATTGACTCCTTGCGTAAGATGAAAGAACAGTGTAAACCGGCACCATTTCCTTATACAAGAAGGAGGTTAGATTTTAGCCTGGATCTTGAGAGTCTGAACAGAAGAAGACCAAGATGCTTGACTACAAGTGAATATGGAACTTGTTCCTCCATTACAGAGAGCATTGGAGTAAGGGAGCATTCGTTCCTAAACAGAAAAGATTCTCTTTTGAGTTTTCAATCATCTACTTCACTAGATGATGCTTTCAACAACAATTTACCAGCAAATCTGAGGCAGAGAAAGCTCTCAAGTGACAGTGGCAGCTCCTGTTTGAGTGAAGTTTCTGAAAATGACTGTTACATCAATGACTCTGACTTAGAGTCAGTTATTGACCGACGTAGACACATAAGTCTGGGAGACATCTGTGTTATTATCCCAGAGGAAAATATCACTGGCCATCTGCAGTCAGAATTTCATCTGGAGGTGTTAGAAGATATGTCATTTGCTCCTACACTCAAGAGTCGGGAGGTGCTTGCTAGTGAAGTTATTGAGATGACACCACATGGAGCCGAGTTTTTCAAAGATGATCCAGCCATCATCAGTTTTCCTTTTGATGTTAAAGTTGGAAGGTACGATGTTGTCACTTGTCTTTGCAGCAACACTGGTTTTGGGCAGAGAACAAGTTGGGAAAAAATGAATCCAAGTGACTACAAGGTCTTCACTTCTCATGTAGAAATCAGAGCCTACCATTTCAGTCTTTTTGCGATTGTGGTAACAAAAGGCTACCCTGAAGCTCGCAAGACCATAAAAGCTGGTATAGGTGGTTGTCTCCACATCCCCGAAGTCCCTGGAATAGAAATTCTCTTCCCAGACACATCATTACTTCATGATATTGAAGCATCTGTGAAGGTTCTTTATGCAGATCACCCTTATGATGTTGATCATTCTGACCCAGAGGCATTAGCACTTGCTACACCAGTTGTCCAACTTGGTCCTCATGGCTGTGTGTTTAATCTACATTCTGCTGACTCTGTGACTGTGCGCCTTCCACTTCCAGATGGCAAAGAGATTTTAGAGAGGTATGGAGACAGGCAGCTCACATTTTGGTGTAGTTCTACAACAGATGGAGAAGATCTCCAGTGGCAGCAGTTCTATCCTAGGTTTTTCCACATTGATAATGATGACAATGCTCTATGCTCTGTATACTTCTCTGTGGAGCACTTCTCTTTCGTTAGAGTTCTCTGGAACATCATTGATACCATCTTGTGGGAAGCCAAGCTGGGTGCCTCTAGTATCATTCCTCTGTTCCAATTCAGTGTTTCCTTTCAAGCTTTGATGTCAGAAGTGAGCGAGAATGGGCTGAGGTTTGGCCTTTGTATAGCGTGCTACAGATTTGGTAAACCTTTGGAGGACATTGGCAATTTTCCTACTGTTGTTGGTAAATGTATTGCACCGAGACTGCTACACACAGGAAGGCTGCAAATCAGGTAAGCTTAACTAGATTGTATGTATTAAAATGTATGCCTTATAAATGTGCACCAGCACATGCAGGATTTTCCAATACTGGGGTCCAACTTTTGAAACATCAGTGACTTACAACAAAACAAATGTGACTTCATTTTACCCCAAATTTAGAGTAGCTATTTTAGTAGCTCATATCTTTAGGAGTATTTGAATAAATGGGAAAGATACATTATTGTAAATTAACATAAACATAGAATGTTAAAAACCCAAATTGGCAGGTATTTTTATTATCAACTGAAGGTATGTTTTTACTCTTTATCAAGGAAGTGTGGCATGGGCCTAAGAACCCTCTCCTCCACCCTCCCCTCCCAGACACCTTTCTCAAGCCTTTTTTTTTTATTATTTTGTACATATTAAAAGTAATCAGCTCTAAAATTAGTTGAAGAGGAGTAATGTGTTTTTCCTCCTTTACCTTTTCAATTATTTTTTCTCAGTGCCTCTGAACCATTTCATAACTTTAAACAATGCAAAATTTCACTCTCTCCCCAGCTTAAACCTTAATTGACTTGATATGACAATTCACATTGCTCATACTAAACACTTTCTTCAAACCATATCTGTTACAAGGTTGGAATCAGATCATTTTGACACAGACACCTCAATTGGTGTTAAAGATCTTGTAGCTGTGGAGAACTTCACTGGCCATCCATTTGTGATTCAGTTTGGATGTCGATTTAAGGGAGAGCCACCATATGGAAACTTTGGTAATGTTTTTGTGGATGAACTATCAAAGAGTGGTGAAAACAAGCCAGTTTTCTCTTTCCTCTTAAATAGGGTAAGCTCTTATGTAATGCTTAACTACACTGAACAACTACAACTTAGATTTACTTTCAAAGGAGAAGAGCAAACCTCCTATGAGATTTTCTGTAGCTTAACCTGTGAAATCCTAACATCAGTATCCAGATTCTCCATACTTTTCTTATCAGTTCCTTTGGTACTGACAAGGAGAATTTGTGTAATCACACAAGTGCTTAGGTTGATGATCATTTCCCTTATTCTCATGATCTTAATGAATGATTCAGCAATATTAATGTAAAGAGAAATTAGAAGCTGGTCAATCCTAGGGTTAACAGCAAGAGAGCATCAGACTGTAAAATTTAAAGGTTTTGGGTTGAATTCCTTAAGGTACTATAGGTTTTTCTCCTTTGTCCTACACTCACAAGAAGAAATCAATAATAACTTCCTCTAATTGACTACTTAACTT